CAGCCCGGCTCTGGCCGCCGGCCCCGCCTCCGCCTCCGCCTCCGCCGGCTTTGGGGAGCGGTGCCAGGCGCCGGCGGCCGCAGGGAGCCTGATCGGAGACCCCCTGAGTGCCGGAAGCTGCCCTCCCGGAGCGCCTGCCTAGGCCTCTGACTCTCGTCGCGCACCCTGCGCGCTCAGGGCCTCCGGGGAAGGCCCTCGATGCACTTTCGGAGGCGCAGGGCAGCTGAGAAGTGGGGAGGCCAGGTGTCCCATCCAGGGGGTCTGGCTCCGCCGCACTGACCAGTGTGGGGCCCCAGGAGACAGAGGTAGTGGTGACACAAGTTTGCTGCCTACGTCCCTTATTTGCGCAATCTCGTTTCCAGCCTCAGAACCGCCCTGAGAAGGTAGACACCATTGTCGGCTCTTTTCCATGGATGGAGAGACTTGGAAAACGGATGCGCTTGGCCAAATGGCTTCCCAGCCCAGGCCAACTGATCCCGGAGCCTGCGCTCCCAACCACGACCTCCAGGTTCCACGGGGCAAAGGAGCAAATGGCACTGCGTAAGGATCTGGAGAAGGGGTTCCAGGCTGCGTGGCGGCTGCAGTGGCCCTGAGCCCCTGGGCTCCGGCCATCGGGATGTGAGGGCCTTCGGCCAAAGATATACTGCATTTGTGCAGAGTCATAGATATGGACAGGACAGGACAGGTGCGGGGGTGGGGGGCATTGCAGCCTGGGTCCTGGCGTGGGGGCAGGGCCCAGAGTTCTCTTCCTATACGCACCCAGAGGTCTTTAGGGAAGAACAAAACCGTCCACTGCCAGCTGATCCGTTCTGGCCCAAAGCCACCCTTTAGAGCAAAGTTGATTTATAGGGACGCAGACTGCACTGCGTTCGTGGCTAGTGGGTTGGAACCCCACCCACCTCTCACTCATAAGGCAGCTGAATGGTCTAAGCACTGCCCTGTACCAGACCTCCTTTGGGGTCTTTGGGACCATGGCCTCAGTATCTGGACTTAGGGGGAAAAAAAAAGAAAATTCTAGAAACTGTAATTCCAGAACCTTCTGAGTGCCTTCCAACCTCTGCAGGGCCACCATCTGTGCAGATCTGCTCTGCCATCTGCAAGGCCATGCCTCTCTGGCGGTTCATATCCTATAGAGAAATCACACACACACCCATGCATTTTACAGCCTCTATAAACCTACTGGGAGGTCAGGTATGAGTTCAATGGCAATAACTTTGACTTTGACCCTGAGTACCTTCCAACTTGGGGGGGGGGGGTAAAGGGGGAATTCCCAACTTTGTCTTTTAAGAGCCGCCATGCCCTCCCTCCCCTGCGAGGCCTTCAAAGGGATAATACTGAGTGGCTTAAAGGACAGGACAAGGCCTCTCAGATCAGCTCGGGATTGAGCCTCTTCCAGGCCCAGAGTCCAGCCACTAACTCTGGAGGGCTGGGGCACCCGACTTCTGCCCTCGGAAAAGCCCACTTCACCTGGCTACTCAAGAGATCACACGTGAGGCCAAAGGGTTCTAGAGTGGCAGCCTGTCAGCCATCAGAAACAGGGCCACTGACCTCTGCTTAGCACAGCACTTTTGCCAAGTTTTGGAGCCAAGAACCACCCCACAGAGCCCACGTCATGACCTGTTTTACCCCTGCCTTCCACTCCCCCCAATCCACTCAGGGCCTTGGCTTTCTCTGGGAGACTGTACGACCTGGCCGAGCCCCCAGTCCTCTCATGCCTGCAGGTCTAGTCACTGCTCTTGCTGTCCAGTGTCGTTCAGTCAGAACCGACTCACAGCTGACCCTCCAGGTTTTCAGAGGCAGTAAATTAAATGCACAGGAGGAGACTGCCCAGCCTTCTCCCGAGTAGCAGCTGGTAGATCTGAACTGCATTATCTGGGGTTAAAGCACAGATTCTTACCGCTAGGCCACCAGAGCTCTCTTCTAATTACTAGAAAATATAAATAATACAAATCCTTCGGGACACCAAGCAATCCTTCCACAAGAGGTGTTTACATATGCACCTGGCAAATGACCCTCTGCCACAGAGTCCGTTCTGGCCCACAGCAGCCTATAAGACAGAACAGAACTGCCGCCAAAGGTCTCCAAGGCGGTGATCTTTACCGAAGCACACTGCCACATCTTGCTCCTAAAGAGCAGCTGGTGGATTTGAACTGCTTACCTTTTGGTTAGTAATTTAACACTGAACCCACTATATCATCAGGGTGCCTCTAAAAAAAACCCCACCCTGGTCAATCAATGAAAAGTCTTAGGATCTCTCAGTATCCTACAGAAATGGGCTTCAACAACAAAAACGCTCCTAAGCTCACCTTTACTCAACGCTTTCTACCTGTCAGACCCTAGACTACTGCACTGATTGAATGTGGTTGGATTATCCCCCAGAATTTATAAAAAAAGCAAAACAAAATCCACTGCTGCAAAGTCACTTTAGCCTCATGGGCCCCGTGGGGGCGGAACTGATTCTCACTGCTTCCCCAGAGGACGCCAGGGCTCTCACCGTTACTGAAGCAGGCTGCCTCAGCTACTTCTGGTGGATCTGAACCACCCACCATGCAGCTGGCAGCCTAGTGTTTAACCACAGCACTACCAGCCTCTCTTTACTTCTCTTTTGCAGATATGGAAATTGAGGTTCAGGGGCTGCCATATGAAGATAGGAAAGCACTGTCCCACAAAAGTATACTGTTTCCCTCATATGCAGATCACAAGATGCAACTGTGGCATTCATTCAGCACACTGTGAACTTATTAAAAAAACTTTGTTTCAGCAGCAAGCCCCACAGAGGCCATGGGTGGGCATGGTGGGTGCGATTAAGGGGTAGGGAAGCTGGGGGTGGTGGTGAATAAGGCCCATGGGCCATGGTGAAGATAGAAACCTTGATCCTGAGAGGAATGAGGTCTGATGGTAGATGGAAGGCCACATATCCAATCTGGGTGCCAAGAGGGGACCACTGAGGAGGAATGGAGAGGAGATGGGAGGCCCGTCTGACTGTTCAGCTGTGGCAGTAGATAAGGAGCAGGGGGGGGGGGGCTGTACCCACGGCACCACCAGGACTGGCCTAGCCACAGCAGATAAATGTGGCCCCCGCTCCGACCTGGCAGGGCTCCCCTCTTGCCCTTCTAATTAATGCTTCGTGTCAGTCTCTAAATGAGGACTTCCTTCTTGCTCCTGACATTGGACACTGAGGATCAGAAACATGAAATCGTTTCAAGTGTAAAACAACTGGGAAAGATGAGATTCCAAGCAAGGAGGAGGGGATCTTTTACTACTAGAAAAGCTAGCTCTTCATTTCCAGCTCAGAGTTGACTTCGAGTCATTTATTTACCTTTGCCGTGGCCAGGCAAGTTTGGTGGTGGTGCTGCGGTGAAAGCCCTTGGGCTCCTAACAGAAGGTCTAAGGTTCAGATCTGGCAGTTTGCTTCCGAGGGGATGTATAACCCTGGAGGCTTTCTGCTCTGTCCTAGAGGGACACTGGGAGGGAACGGTGACTTGGCGACAGCAGGCTGGGCTGGGTTTAGTTTTCGCTTTGAGTCAGCAGGA